TAACCCTAATATGACCCTAATATAGCCCTAATATAACCCTAATATGACCCTAATATAGTAAGTATGATGCACACTAGGGCCGAGCTGGTCCTGATGTTGATTTTGAGCAGCTTTTTAGGAGTAATAAGCATCGCCGCCGCAGCAGCAGCAGCAGCAGCTTAGGGACTAAGAGTCCTTTGTGTGCATCATACTTGCTATATTAGGGTTATATTGGGGTAATATTGGGGTAATATTAAGGTTATATTAGGGTTATATGGGGATAATGGAAAAGAAAATGGAAACTATTATATTATAGTATATTGGGGTTCTATAGGAAGAATGGAAAAAAGTGGAACTTGCCATATTATAGTTTATTGGGGTTCTATAGGGATAATGGAAAAGAAATGGCAGTTGCTATATTATAGTTTATTGGGGTTCTATAGGGATAATGGAAACGAAAATGGCAACTGCTATATTACAGTTTATTGGGGTTCTATAGGGATAATGGAAAAGAACCTGGAAAAGACTATATGATAGTATATTGGGGTTATATAGGGATACTGGAAAAGAAAATGGCAAAGACTATATGGTAGTATTTTGGCGTTCTATAGGGATAATGGAAAAGAAAATGGCAACTACTATATGATAGTATATTGGGGTTATGTAGGGATAATGGAAAAATAGAAAAGATTATATGATAGTATTTTGGCGTTCTATAGGGATAATGGAAAAGAAAATGGCAACTACTATATGACAGTATATTGGCGTTATACGGGGATAATGGAAAATAAAATGGAAGCTGCTCTAGTATATTAGGGCCAAACAGCCTCAAACCCTAAACCCTAAACCCTTCTGTGTCGTGTTTGGACCTGTTGGCTCCAGCAAGTCTTGCCAGTCGACTGAAGCCGCCTCCAGGACCGCGGGCTGTCAGATGAGCTATAGTCTAAGCCCCTTTTGGGGGTTTATAAGGGGAGTACTATAGGAAAGCCTATATGAGCTGTAGTCATAATTCCTTTAAGGAGGGTTATGCACAGGATTATATAGGGGAGTATTATAGGTTTTGTTAGGGGGAAACTAGGAGTTTAGGCTATAGCTCAGATAAGATTTGGTTTTCAGGGGAAGCTGTTTGATAGTACCATGCTGCAGCTCAAAACACTACTAGTAACTAGCAATTGCACGGTCACCCTGGCCAATGCCATTTGAAGAACGTCCCCAAACTCAGCGAACGCCAGAGCCTGCGAAGTAGGACAAAGGGCAAACTCCCTGTGGCTCTTAAGGCATCCCAAGGCAAAGTTATTCGCTCATGAGGGAGTCTCGTCAGCCCATGGTAGGCTTCTGGAAGCCCACCACTGACAAAGATGCTGCAACTTCTTTGGCTAATCCAGACCCAATCACGGAATGTCATCCACTTCCAGATGACGCTACTGAGGACTATCCTACCGTGGTCCAACCGCAAGCAGCATCAATGGTTGCATAACAGCAGTGACGGCGGCAGATGTGATAGTGAAAGTGGTGGCGTCGTAGTAGTAGTAGTAGTAGTAGTAGGAGTAGTAGTAGTAGTAGTAGTAGCAGTAGTAGTACAGGAAGTACAAGAAGAAGTAGTAGCAGCAGCCGTAGCAGCAGTAGCAGCATAAGCAGGCGTCGTCGTCGTCGTCGTTGTGGTCGTCGTCGTTGTGGTAGTCGTAGGGCGGTGTGGAAAAGAGTCTTGCCAGCAACGGGTATGAAGAATCAGCCACACTAGGGCACCCAAAGGCTGTCAGACAAGAATGTCTTTCAGGAAAGCCGCAGAGGCCGGTTTTGGCCATGCCGCTGAAGCTTTATGCGGCGGCGGACGACTACAAGACCAAGAAGGCTTCTTCAGCAAAAGCCCTCTGAGTTTGACTGCGTAACTGCAGAGGGTTTGGTAGCAATATCCAGAAGCTGAGTTCCGACCTGTTTCATAAAGTAAGGAAGAAGGTGGGAATAGACGTTCCCAATGTTGAGAAATCCAGCGACATCCCAGAATCGCTGGCTGAACAGATGATTTCTTTTCCATTTTCCTATAGAACCCCAAAATACTATAATATGGTAGTTTCCATTTTCTTTTCCGTTATCCCTATATAACCCTATAACCCTAATATAACCCCAATATAACCCTAATATAGCCTTAATATAGCCTTAATATGACCCTAATATAGCAAGTAGGTAGAGTGGAGCGTGCTGCCTGTGCTTCGTGATGCAGGTCTTGATCGCGGCACAGTACGTGGGCATGGAGGTCCCGTTCTCTACTTTTGATCCCCATTGAAAGTGGGGTTTAGGGTTTAGGGTTTAGGGATTATTAGGGTTTAGGGTTTAGGGATTAGGGTTTAGGGTTAATTCACGCGCAGCTGGCATCAAGTCGTGGCGGTCTGGCTGATTGTTGGCTGGCTGGAGCATTGGACAGTTCTCTTCACAACACTGATCTTCTTGTCATTTGTAGGCTCCCAGTGCCAGATACCTGCATAACAGGCCTGCATAACTACTAATGTTGTACTCCAGTACTTCTTACAGACCTATAGCAGTATAATGCTGAATGTATAATGTATAATGTATACCTCTAGACCCTCCAATGTAATACCTTCTTGCTAGTCCTAAGAAGAATCTTAACCAAAAAAACATAACAAACCCAAGAAGGAACTACATTGGAGGGTCCAGGTAATGTATAAGGTATAGTATGTAATGTAATGAAGCTGACCTCCATGACCCTGAAGGTGTCTTGCCCTACAGAGCAGGGTGCAGCGGCTGCAGGGAAGGCCGGAAGGGCCTTGTTCGTTGAAGGGTGGGTAAGGTTTTGGGGTCTAGGGTTTTGGGCTTTAGGGTTTTGGGGTTTAGGGTTTAGGGTTTTGGGGTTTAGGGGTTTGGAGTTTAGGGTTTTGGGATTTAGGGTTTAGGGTTTAGGGGACCCCAAAATGCAGGGATTATAGTAGGGATATATAGAAATTAAAGGAGAACCAAACGGAAAATACCGTGGAAAATGACATGGAAACTGGATTTATGTAGGGCTTTATAGGATATTGGTAGTTTCCCAAAACAGGGCGACCCCAATACAGACCCCAATATATCACAATCCTTATTTTGGGGATCCCAAGAAAGGTGTCCCTAATTTTGAGAAACCACCATGTGTATATTATACTGTAGTTGCATCCGTGGCCAGCCACCATTTGGGGCATTGCTCAAACAGATTCCAGGTATACAGTCCCTAGTAAGGACCCCCTATGATCCTCTCATAGTGCCTACAGGTGCGTCAGCATTCCCCCCTAATGACTGATAATATAAGACATGATGATGAACCTACTGCCTACTGCACCCGCCCCCCCGCCCCCCCCCTGTGGTCCTGTGGTTTGGGCTCGTTTAGATTAGATTTATGGACGGTTGGTGGTGTTCATAGGGGTTCATAAGGGTCATAGAAGGTTGACCGAGGGTTCATGGGTTTATGGAGGATAACAAAATAAAAGGTTCAAAGGTTTTCTGAGCGGTTTCTGGAGAGTTTGTAACGTTTATCAACGTTTTATAGAGGATTATGCAGGGCTTTTGGAGAAAGTGAATTTCTGGAGGGCTTGCAGGTTTTATAGAATTTTAGAGAAGGTTTACAGAGTGTTCATAGCTTGTGTACAAGGTTGTTCGATTTTTTAAAAGGTTCATAAGTTTTCTGTTTTTTCCTATGGTTTTGAGTTATTGGGGGCTTATAAATGCATCCGCCCCTGTAGTCCTGTTGCCCTGTGGCGCTGTGGTCTGGGATCCTGTGGTGAGGGTTTACAGAGGGTGGAGAGAGGTGTTACGGAGAGTTCATGGTTCGTGCGGGTTTACAGATATGGCCTCCTTCTCAAACGAAAACCATGAGGGGGGAGGTTTCGCCTTGAGATCTCTGGCCAGATCCCCGTCCTTGAGACAGACAAGGGCTGCATCTTCACCAGCGGAGCCATCGCCAGGCTGGGCCCAAGTCTTCTTAACGGCTTAGGGCTTAGAATTTGGGGTTTAGGGCAGGATTTCGGGTTTTGGGGTTGAGGTAATGGAGAATCAAATCGACAGGCCCGAGACTGTAAACAAGGTGGGTATCTCATGCAAGTAAGGCTCGCATAAGCCTGGTATGAGGGTACAAGGCCTCTTTGAGGTCTGTATACGCCTCATTTAAAGGTACTCGCCTGCTAACTACCCACATGGAGGTTCCCGCGATAAATCTTCAGGCCTGGACCCCAAACTTCAACACCGAGCCCTTAAGCTAATAATGGTTTAGGGCTTTAGGTTTCTATAAAAACACCCCAACCTGCAAAATGAGGACCCTATCCCTATCGGGTGGTTGGTTAGGGTTGCCAAGATCCCTTTACATACGGTCCCCCTTAAGTAGACGAATATCGCTTTGAATATATTATAGTAAGATCCCCA